GCAAAATCTCCCAGGTAGTTTGTAAGTACTTCCCTTAGGGAAGTTACCAAATACTTTCATGTCCATCATTTCACTTGGATATTCACAACCACCTGGTGGTGTAGGTAGAAACTATTATTCCATTATACAAATGAGAAAATTGAGGTTCTGTTAAGTGCCCATAGCTCTCCTCTTCCCTACAAAGTTTTTCTTAACACCCACTATTGCTTTCCCTTATTTTTAAATCAGTACAAACTATACCTATACCCATAGCCTAGAAAGATTGCTGCTCAGCTCAAAGTATTCTATAAATCAAATTTAAAAATATTTGTTGCATTCTCCATCTTTCTAACCCATTTAGTATGATGGAGAGATGACAGAGCATAGTAATTATAAAGGTGCACTTTGGGATCAGATCAGGATAGGTATTCTACATTCATCACTTTTGAATTCTATGGCCATGGACATCTTTGTGCCTCACTTTCCTTATTGTAAAATAGGAATATTCACATCTATTTTCTAGGATTCTTTTAAGGGTAAATGAGATGTACTGTAAAGCAGTTTCATAGTGCTTGACATATAGTAAAATCTTGAGAAACGCTTCTATGACACATAATTACCATATAATCATAGAACTGAAATGATCTTTAGGAATTATTAGTTCACCAATTTCATGACATTTACCAATGAAATTAAATGGAGTTAGGTGGGATAGTACTGAGACAGGGACAATAGATGTAGTCAGAGTAGGGTGAGGGCCCCTGGAGGGGGCAGGGCGGGATATTTGCAGTCAGAGCAATGTAACTACATGCAAGGAAATCCCCCTGCTAAAACTCTATGTTAAACATTGAGCTCTAGAATCATTCTTTAGTAAAATCAGTTAATGTTCCCCAGATAAAGAAGAGTAGCACATGCTTTATTATGCTAACCATTTATAATCATGTTTAGCATACTAAAAGGCCCAGGCCTATGTGATGTCTTTCTCCTTCAGATCTGATGAAGTGATTTTGCAAACTGGGCAACTAATTTAGCAAGTAAGCTCAGGCATAAACAACACAGTAAAAGGCAGGAAGGATTCCACCTTAAAGATAAGATTGCATTTTAATACCCAAGAAGTTAAGATGTTAGAAATTCTTAACTTACTCTTTAGCAAACAATACCTCAGCCCACCTTGGGGGCTGAGCAGGTGGCCTTGTTTCATATGCCCCCAGACCAAGATGCTGGTATCTCAGAAGTTGCTTGTGTTAATTCTAAATATTCAGGGACCACTTAACAAGTCCACACCCCTAAGTTTTTTTCATGTTCTTGAAAAATCCTCAGCTGCCTATAAAACCCCCTAGACAACGCACCACTACGGACTCTCTTGTCCCCTCCTGGTGTGAGCTGGGAGCTCTGTCCTTTCACTGTATCTCTAAATAAAGGCCTGTACCTTGCTCTCCTACCTTGACTGTTTGTGAAGCTCATTCTTCGGCTCCACAAACAAGAACTCTGGCATCAGTACTTTGTGAAGTAGGTTTGCGTATTAGTTTGAGTTGTTTCCCCCCAAAATTTCAAGTCCACTTGGAACCTCAGAATATGAACTTATTTGGAAATAGGGTTTTGGCCAAAAGAATGAATTAAGATGAGATCATACTAGATCAGAATGAGCTCTACATCCAATATGACTGCTGTCTGTATAAGAAGAGGAAAGGACATACAGAGACACCAAGATCCAGAGGGAAGAAGGCCAAGGCAGAGAAGGGAGTGCTGCAGCTGCCAGCAGAGCGGCACCACGGACTGCTGGTACTACCAAAGGCTGGGAGAGAGGCATGGACTGGGTTCTCCATCAGAACGCTCTTGCAGGAACCAGCATTATCAACATCTTAATTTCAGACTTCTAGCCTCCAGCCTGAGAGGGAATAAATTTGTTTTAAGCCACCCAGTTGAGGTAACAATCTGTCACAGCAACCCTAGGAAGCTGATAGGGCTTGTGACAGAGGAAGAGCGCTTCTAGAACTCTGGATTTTTTACTTCCAAATCCTGCCCAAACCAGCAATAAACGTTTATGAAACACCTACCTAGGAAGTTTACCTATTCTGGAGAAAAATGGACACAATGTATATAATCTTTGCCAGTTCTTACTGACACACAGTAGGCATCTAATAAATATTTACTGGCAAATTGATAAAATAATAGTTATAAAAATGGTATATTATGTTATACAAATTTAAGATACTACTATGAACCACTTTATTTACCCATTTTGTATATTGAAGAATCACAAAACTCCAGAACTCCTCACCCTACAACCTGAAGGTCATGGAGAGGTTCCCTAGCCCTGCCTGCCTGTTCACTATGTCCAGGGGTGATGAAATAAATGGAAAGCAATCTGAATACCCTCAGGACTCTGAATCCCACAGGGCGGGTATGATCTCTTTCTTGCTGCATCCTCCCACACTCACTCAGGACAGGGCTGCAGGGAGCCCAGGGAGTCAGGGAGCTGTGAATTGCTCTACAGGAAGTAAACCACAGAGTACTGTACCTACTGTCAGCCTGGGAGTAGAGTGGGTGGTGGTAGGTTAACAGCTACAAAGGGAAGCAGGGAGGAGCTGATTCACTGGGACAATGCTTAGAGTGACTCAGAAGCCAGCAGAAAACAGCCTGTTCTCCCACATCTGCCTCATTGTCGGGCAATGAGGTACTTCCTCATTGCTAACCCATAGGCAGGGCAAAAGGGAGGAGGAGGAAATGGGATTTTTCAAATTCAGGGGCCTATTCAACACCTAGCACTCTGTTTTTAACCATTTCAGACATTTTTGTTTCAAGTCAGTACTTATTGAGTGCCTACTATATATCTGGCCCTTCATCATGCCTTTCAGATTGTAAGTCTCCTGAACACAGGGACTATATCTTTCTGAAGTTCTGAATTTCCTACTTCATTACTTCAAGAGCATGTGGGCTGCTGTTGAGCACCTTAGTACAAGTCTTAACTGTCCTTCACATATAGAGATGACCCTCTCAGACCTACAATCAATAGGGAGAGGCATGGAGCTTTTTTTTGGCTCAGATGCTGGTTTTGCAGTCAAACAGGCCCAATCCTTGGACCAGTTTTTGTGAGAGTCAGTGTGCAGTGAGCAGAATATGGCATAGGTTTAGAGTCCCACATCCATGTTGGAAGTTCTTTCTTTTCTATTTACTAGCTTTATGAACTTACTTGACCTCTTGAATTTCTGTCTTCTCATGGGCACAATGATGTCTGTCTTAGAGGTCAGGGTAGATTTATCATGTAGTAGTAAAAATTAAACATCATTATTTGAGAGTACCTGTCACAGTGATGACATGATAAAAACTGCTTTGCTGCCTTCAAACTTTCCTATGATTGCACAGACTGATCACATTCTCCACCAAATTGCAAACTGCGTAAGGGCAGGGCTTTATCTGCCTTGAGGACTATGTCTGCCTGGGTGAATGCTATGCCCCCAACACTGTCTTGCTTAATAGTACTTGGTAAGATTAGGAATAACATATTAAAAGTAATTGTTAACCTTAAAAGTAAAAGTTATTTTATTAGCAAAATGGGGTTTTTTGAGGAATAGAGAATTGCAATTTGGGACATGCAAGCTATGGCAAAACCACAGGCAAGTCCCACAAAGGAGAGGGAGGTTATTTTATGGAGAAAAAGGAGAAAGTTGGGAGGAGTTGTTTTTAATTAAAGTCCATTGGTAAAAATCAGGAGTTCAGAGTGCTAAGGGTTTCTCTTTGGCTGAGTTGCAGCGATAGTGGATTTCTTGTAGGAGATACAGTATATGTCTTTCCCTGTTGGGATGGTAATTGATGATTCTTTCCTGTTAATGCTTCTTCTGTTGGGCTCTGTAATTGACAATTCTTCCTGGAACTGAAGTGGAGTGATAGAGCTCCTCCCCCTTCTAACCAATAGATTCTAATGAGGTTTCCCTTTATTTTCCCATGACATACTATTTATGCATTATTTATATATTTAATTGCATTATAAATATTTGTTATATTTTATTTTTAAACAATATGGTTATTATTATTTTAATCAGCTGAATCAATCTGTAACCTGGAGTGCTTCTGTGGAAAAGCAGTCCAGAAACCTTAACCTCAGGTGGGGATTCACCCTCTCTCCTTTCTGAGTTATTTGGTCCCGGGTAGGGCTTGCTGCCACCAGCAAGCTGCGTACTCCTGTGTTCACAAGAAGGGACAGACATTCCTCACATCCTATACACTGTCTTTTGTTTCAGCTTCACTGCAAATGCCATTGCCCTACAGTATAATGGTGCCAAGGACACAATATTAAGTCCCTTCATCTGGCAAATCTTGACACACAAATTTGCAATTATTCAATTTCTACCTGGAAGGCAGGTCTTTTATGGGTTTATGCTCTCTGGGGTGCAACCCGGAGTCCCTGCCCCACGGGCTCCAGAGCTATTATTCTATTCCAAATGTAATGTGAAAAGACAAGGAACTCTCCGGGTTTTTCACCTTTTCGCCCTTGTTTCTTAGCAACACCCACAAGCTCTCCAAGAAAAAAAGACAGCAGAGAACCCACGTTACCAGCTTTCAAACAACTAAAAATTCCAAAGCGCACTTCATATGTTAACATTCTGGTTGGAGTAAAATGTTAATGTGCCCAATCAACCAGGGTACCCAAAGTCCGCCATTCCTAAACTTCCTGGACCATGAAGGTAAGGCAGGAAGCACATGCCACCGTCCTGCCCAGAAACCACACAGAAGGTGGAAAAGTTGAAGAAGGCGGCGGGGAGAAGGGCGAGCCCACCCCAAGCCCGGGCCGGAGGAGGGCACTTCCTCCCGGAAGTGACGCGTCTTCAAGCCCAGTTTGGCTCTCCCCAAACAAAAGGGATCTTGGGGCCCCGGGAGGAGCCTAAATGACATTGGAGAAGCCCCTCCTCCATCCGGTGCGGATTGGTGCCATGGCTGGAGAGAGGAGGTGGCGATTGGGCCTGGCGAATGTCAGTGCTCCCGCCTGGAGGCTGCGGGCGGGGCCTCCGGGGGCTGTGGATGGGAGCGGGAGGCGGAGGCGGAGGCGGCGGGGAACGGAGCCTGGAGCGCCGGGAAAAGGTAGGATCCGCTAAGACCGGGATTGGCGGTGGTGGGAGGCCGGGTTCTCGAGGAAAAAGCAAGGGTAGGACCACCGATGTCGTCCCACCACCGTCCCAGCTGCCGCTTGCGGCCATCCCCTGAGGGGGCGGGGCCGTCTTCTCCACCTCCCGGTATTCCCAGAGGAGGTGGCTCCTCATCCTTCGAGGGTCCCTGCAGCTAACTGTAGCCGGTCAATCCCTCCTCCCCAGAAGGGGCTTCCTTCCCGGAACCTCTCATTTAAAGCCTCTCCCGCCACCGTCCAGCCCTCAGCCTTGGAGGAAGGCACACAGGTTCCCATTCTCTAGTCTGCCGCCCCCACCCCCATTTTGCTTCCCCGGAGGCCAGACATCCCTCCCTACACCTGTCCCTGCTCGGTAGGGTAGAACCAGAGGTAGTTTCATCCGTAAGATGAAAATCAGTGTTTTCTAAAAAAGAGGTGGGCGAAGCAAAAATCAGAGACCTGGCATGGACTGCCAGCCCCCCACACGAAGCGACCCTTCCCCACTTCAGTTCTTCCCATCCCCCATTCTCTGATCCTCATCCTTCATCCTGAAGCCCCTCTGATCCTATGTTCTCTTGTGGAGGAGTCGAGAGCTCACCGGTTTCGGGGCTTTTTTAGGAGAAATAGTAACTCCCCAACCCCCCTTCCCCCTTTGTACCTTCTCTCCACTCTGGATACCTTGAGGCAGAACCCAACTTCTAGGGGTTTTTAAAATTTGAGTTGTGTCTCATTTTTGCTTTCTACCCTATTTCTTTCCTGGGAACCTAATGAAAAACCATTCTTTTATATTTCAGTGAAGTGGGTGTGTTGGGTATCTGCAGAGTTAGTCTTGTGTGGGTAGGAATGCACTGTATATTGTTTGACTGGCAGTGAATAGCAGCATGCTTTCAAATGAAACAGTATAGATAAGTAAACAGAGAGCACTGGATTAGGAATGTACCAGTCTAGGGTGGGCTAGTCTGTTGCTCAGGGAAACTGCAGTTAACCTTGAAGGTATAGCTCTGTTGAAACAAAGGGCAGGAAGTGTTTGAAGAAAATTAAGGTTCAGTCATCTAGGTTTATGATTAATCTAGTTCTTTGGCCTTTGATTACTCTGTAGCCACCCCTTTTATGGTGGGTTTTTCCCTCCAGGGGAAATTGCTACATATATGATGCTGTTGATTAGTTCTACAAGATTAGTATCACCTTCTAAAATTTAGGGGATGAAGAGTAAGAGCCAATTTTAAATCATAGAGATAAGGGTAAATAAAAGCAAGGTTAGGCCCAGCTAGTTACACATGTAAGTACCAAGAAGCGTGTGGTTCCCTGCAGTGTGGTTAAAACATGTGTCAAGTTGGCCTTCATTTCAGCAGGTGCAAAGTATTAATGATTTTGCCTAAAGTTAATGCCATTGAATCTCCACTTACATTAAAATCTGCCGTATTTTTTAGTATTGTTTCTTTTGCTTTCAATCTGAAGTCCCTCTTAATTCTGTTGGCTATAGCCCAAGCTAATAGCAGTGACGTGGAAGGAGTTGGAATCACAGAAGGTGCTTATAATAGCTGTCTTTTATCTTCTTGATTAGACTTTCTGAAAGTAGACTTCTTGAACGTAATTACTTTTGAATAATTAGGTTTGAAGTTTTCAGAGGCACTCTCACTGCTCACAGATAGGTTCAGTGATTGTTTCCAGATCTCCAATAAAAAAGCGCAAAGAAGAAACTGTGTGGAGGGTCTCTTCAGCACATACAAAACATACTGTGATAGGAGGGTAAGACATGGGCCCCCAGCAATAGCTGCAGAAAAAACTAAAAGCAGAACAGGAAATCCCCAAAAGATATATCTTATTACCTAAGTGGAGAACAGAAAATAAACTAAGGTAAGAGACTAAGGAAACCAAAGTAATGATTGCCAGGGCCTTACTGAGCACAGAGGAAAAAGCAAATAATGAGCTTTGATTGTTTGGCACAATAAGAAGGACCCGTTTGACAAATGTTTAGGGCTTAGAAATCTTTCCTCTAACTTTCTCAACTCCAGTGTGGTCATATTAGATCAAGAAACGCATTGTAGTTAGAGGATTTTTATGTCTTTGTCCCATCTATCTCATTAAATGAAAGATTCTTTGAGAGCAAGTGTAGATAGAATGGTTGGTTTTTTCATCTTTGTTATCTTTCACAGTGCCTAGTATGTAGTTTGACTTAATGAGTGTTGAACTTAGTTTGAAGCTATCACCTTAGGGTAGACAAGGAAGGTACTTTACGGATAAAATACAACACATCTTGTTAGTATTTATTCCACTTATTTTTGCCTTGATTTAACTTTATTTTCCCTATCTGATGTCTTATGAAACTCCATTATCTTAAGTTGGTTCTAAAATACTGAATTTCCTATAAGAAAATATCTGCTGGTTCGGTATATAATTTTGCTGTAAAAATCTGAACCAGATTTGTTATTGTAATCAGTGCCAGTCATTTTAGGGTTTTATTTTTGTTAAGAGTCTGACCTGAGAGGAATGAAGTGAATTTGGAACCACCCACTGGGAACTGGTGACCGTTTTTTGCTTCAGAATGGCCTCTGAGTGGGTTTGACAAGTTACTGATCTACTTTGGGATTTTTTTTTAATGGATTTTTGGTTGATTTTGTGCTTTTCTGAATTAGCACTGACACATGAACAGGGACACAAGCAGTATTGGGTCCCCAAGTGGAATCGCACAGACTGATTTGGGTGAACTTAGTGTATTCAGTCTGCAGTTTATTTGTGTCTTGGCACGATCTGGTTTGCAGGGCTACCAGTTAATTTGCAGAACAGGATTGGAATTCTTGGCTTAGTTCTTGAGTGGAGCAGAATGCTATTTCTAGGGGTTGCCATTGAATTGGTGTTTGTGGCAAGATACAAGAAGCAGAGATTTATTTCTAGGGGAAATGTGTCCATTCTTTGGTGGTTGACCCCAGGAAGGGCTTGTCAGCTTGTTTCTAAAGGCCATTTTTTTTCCCAGTTTCTAAATGTTTGCTGCTAATAACCAAAACCCAAGTCTTTCTAGTTTCAATTCAAAGCATTTTAGTGAGAAAATGGCTTATTTATCTGAGGCTATAGTGTGATAATTTACAACACAGACTAAAAATCCCACCTTTTCTGTTGGTTGACCGTGTGACCAGGGCAAGGGTGCAGTTTTCTAACTTTACCATATCCCATCTTCCTCAGCTGTGACAAGGGAATCACTTTTTTTTTAATGATTGCACAAACTCATACATGTATAAACCACAGAGCAAGGTGTGGCATGGAGGAAGCACTTGATAATTGGTAGCATTATGCCATTATTATTAGCACTTTGCACGTTAGCTAAAGAATTAAATATTCAATATATTTGTACTCCTTTAGCATTTTAGTAAAGGTGAAGACTTAGGGCCTAATTTTATTTATTGGTTTGATTATGTAGGTCAGACTTTAGTTACTTAGTTGTTGGTTAAATATATTTCAGTATATAGCTAAGATCCTTAAGTAGAGGGAAACAAGGTTGGCTATCATAATATCAGATATCTAATACAGGGTTTTGTAGAAGAGTGCGTGTGTCTGTCTCATAGACTGTATGTGTTTCATAATTTTGTCATGCAAATTATCTTCCTTAATTTTTTGGCCTGGGGGGGGAAAAGGCAAGGGATTCAACCATCTGATGCTTTTCTCTGAATTGTCAATTGCTCCAAACTCTGGACTCAGGTGTTTTAATTACCTCCACCCTCAGTGGCATATTAATGATTTTATGGATACTGTGTTTACAGTGCAGGGTTGTACCTTCTGTGATGTACGTGTAAGAGATTTTCAGTGGTAATTTTTATTAAAAGTGATTGTTGCCTTTTGCAGACAACTCCCCCCAACTCCCAACACAACCCTAACAGTAAGGAGCAATCATAGGAACAACCAAAACAGGTGAAAAGAAACCGTGGCTAGGGGAGTTAAGAGTGGAGGTGGGGGGAGTTGACAGGGGTTTATGGGAAAACAGGCCTACAAATAGGCATGGAAGTAAGATGCAATGATACGATTCCTCCCTGCCAAGAATCTGCAAACTCTGTATTTCAGGTCCAAAGCCAAAGCTTCCAATCTAAATGTGTCCTTTGCTGCCATGTGAATCCTGTCTGACTTCTGGAGCCACAAAGAATGTAATCCTCAGGTGTTACTGAATTCAGTAGAAAGGAAAATAAAGCACAGGATGATGAGGTTTACGGACAGAAAAACACTCCTGAAGCTGAGCTTTGGAGGCATCTTCACGGATTCTTTGTGCAGAGCTGCTGGGGAAGGCTAGGCTCAAGTGTGCTCAGGGTTGGCTGTCCTAGAACAGTAAGAGCCAGGGAGGAGGGAGTACAGAAGGGAGAAGCAAGTGGGGATGAATTGCTTTTAACGAGAGATAAGAACTGTTAAGTTATAAAGGAGAGAAGAATGAAGGGTAAGTGCTACATAAGTTGTAGGGGAAAACTTAGTTTTTGGTGCAGAAGGGGTAAACCCCATTACTTGGTTTCTGCTAACTAGTCCTTTCTGTTGCAGCAGGTCATACGGGAGTGGCAGCACAACCTACCAGTCCGCTTCTTAAATGGTTTAATATTTAAGGTGCAGGAATGATCTGGTCTAGTCCTATGTATCAGCTGCTTCTTACTGCCTCTTCTTCTTATTTTTTTAAATTAAGGTATCATTGATGTACAACCTTATGAAGGTTTCACATGAGCAACAGTGTAGTAATACATTCACCCATTCTTGTTCTTAAATTGAAGGCACAGAAGAAATATTCTGAAAAGGCTCTACCTTCTCTACTTCTAAACTTCTGGCCTTCACCACACAGACTGACTGACTGACTGTGTTCCTCTTGGGGGTCTGATTACTTCTCATTCAGCATGTCTCACATCACAGTAATCATTTCCCTCTAAAAGCAGTTCCTCTTCTGACATCCCTGTTTCTGTTAATGGCATCGTAATTCGAGTCACCCAGTCTTAAAACTTCAGCTGATCTGGGA